CACAATTTTACTGCTACGCATTTTTTTAAACAAAGTTTAGTTCACTCCCCTAACCAAGTTTAAAAAAAGAAAAAAGCTCAGGTTGTTAAATTATAGTTCAAGTTTGGTACATTTTTTTAAAAATTAAAGCTTTCATGGCACCTAAAAATAGCAAAGAGAAAATAATAATTTTATCCTGTGTTAAAGGCTGAATTGTGTTCCCCCCAAATTCATATATTAAAGTCCTAACCCCATTACCTCAAAATATATTCGAAGATAGAGCCTTCAAAGAAGTAATTAAGTGAGGTCATTAAGGTGGGTCCTAATCCAATATGGCTGATGTCCTTTAAGAAGATGAAATTAGGACACAGATTTGCACAGAGCAAAGACCATGTGAAGACAGGGAGAAGACAACCCTCTATAAGCCAAGAAGAGAGGCCTCAGAAAAAGCAACCCTGCCAACACCTTGATCTTTGACTTCCAGCCTCCAGAACTTTATTACGGCAGCTCTAGCAAACTTATACATCCACCTTTTCAAATACTTCCTTGTCACTGAAGTTTATATTATCTAACGCCAGCTTCAGTTTTATGCGAAATTGCCTGTAGGTCTTTAACAAAGCTTCCTTCCACACATTACACAAATAAGGTACCCATTTCTGAATTATAGAATATTTTTAAAACGTTAGAAATTATCACATACTCACTTCTTAAAGACTATTACTTAAATACTAACTACAGCATAGCCTTCTATTTGGAAATTTTCTATTCTATTTCCATACCTAAAAAACATGTCATTGAAAGTCTGTCTGTATTTAAAAAAATATAACAACATTGCCAAGATGAAGTATTCTGAATACAATGCTTTGAATTTGAAAATATTTTGATGGGCACCAAATTCTAACAAGCAGCAAAGCGAAACACTCTTCTGGAATCCAAACTTGATAAAGTTATTCTTTTTCCAATGTCAACTACGTGACTAAGGCATGAAATTTGGTTCTCAATTTAAATTTTATCATATGCGTTATGGCAAAACTATGATGCTTTAACTACATTGAAAAGGAACTTTTTAGGTAACCTGCAAATATTGAGGTACAGATAAAAATATAACTGAAAAGGGAGACTAAGAAGATTTCAGATTAATTATCATACCAGAAAGTATTTTCTCTGTTGATTAATGAAAAAAAGGCAAATATAAACTAAGAGAGACACTGAGTAAAGAGTCCTAGAATTCTAAAGCTAGGAGAGAAAAAAAAAAGGCACAGAAGGAATGTTTTTTGTTGGTTTTGCCTTTAAGAAGACTAATACAGTTGAGCATTTCATGGGGCCAATTACATAGCAATTGTCCTACAGGGACTATATTGTTTAAAGAAATTCAAATTTTCTGTAGCCTTGGCTAGTGTCCCTCAGAGGAGTGCAGATTAAGTTCCTAAACCAACCATCTCTTCCACTATAAATAAAATCAAATACCAACTTGGATCTAATGTTCAAACATCAAGAATTTTGTTCATGAGACAACTTCCAAAACTGGAAAGTAAAGTTCTTTATAAAGTATTACCTTAAAAAATATTTACAAGTAACACAGGGATATTGTTAGGCAACGCTAGAGAAACAAATGTTCCTTAACAAAATGTGTCTTATGGGAAAAAAGTGAAGCTGAAGGGTATTTATATCTGAAGATCCTCAGAGCTCATGCAAGCACTGGCCACCACAGCCCAAATGATTGAGAAATATTTTCCAAATGGTAATATTAAAAAAAGAAGGAAGGGACGAAAACAACAACGAAGAACTGGACCTTCGTCGTGAACATCCTGCCAGATATTACAATAGGAGTTATTCTAGTTCTACTCCAACTTCTTTTAAAAGGACAATTCAAAACAGCATTCTAGAAATTAACAACGTGCAGTGTAATGGTTCAGAGCATGGGCTCCGGAACCAGTCTTCCCAGTTCCTCCCTGGCTCTGCTATTTACTAGCTCTGTGGCCTTGGACAAGTCACTGAACCTCTCTGTGCCTCAGTTTCCCCCCTCAAATGGAGATAATAACAGAACCATCTCAGTGGGTGGTTGTGAGTACTAAATGGATGTCTCCATGTCAAACCTTAGCACAGTGCTTGAAATTTGGCGAGTGTCATATAACTGTCAGTGGTGGCAGTGGTGATGGGGATATTGAAAAACCAACTGAACACAAAGTGCACAGTAAAATGTCTGGTGAAGCTGGCTTGAACAAACTAAATGAAAATTCCAATCTAGGTGACAGCTAAACACGTTAGAGAATTTTATTTACATACAATTTTTTCCACCAGGCTTACTGCTCCCAAAATTCACATTTCCACTTATCTGAGCTGCTCTTAGGCACCCAGTACAAGACCAGACAAAAGAGCAAAGCATTCTTTAAGGAGCTGCCTGAAAACAGCTGACCTTAGGGCCTACTGATGAAACCAAACCACGGTTAAACACACATTAAACAAAAACACCAGCCAAGAACAGGAGAGGCAAACTTCGTTAGCCAGGGTAGTTGTCACTGATGACCACTCACACAAAGATACAAGCGCAAATGTGAAAGCAGGGGACGTTGACATGGCACCATCCTTGATTCTGGTACATGGACTGTCCCCCCGTCCCGCCTCCCACCCCCTCCCCCCCGGCCTACGTGGACAGCACAAGCAGAGTCTAGTGAAGACCACATCAGTGGCTTATTTTGAGCTACTTTTTTTTTTTTTTTTGAGTAAACGGGCCCTCCCTCTTTTTGGC